TGGAAATAGAACTGCCATATGACCCAGCAATCCCACTGCTGGGCATACACACTGAGGAAACCAGAATTGAAAGAGACACATGTATGCCAGTGTTCATCACTGCACTGTTTACAATATCTAGGACATGGAAGTAATCTAGATGTCCATGGCAGATGAATGGATAAGAAAGTTGTGATACAAATACACAATGAAATATTACTCAGCTATTAGAAAGAATGCATTTGAATCAGTTCTACTGAGTTGGATGAAACTGGAGCCTATTAAACAGAGTGAAGTAATTCAGAAAGAAAAACACCAATAGAGTATATTAAATGCATATATATGGAATTTAGAAAGATGGTAATGATGACCCTATATGTGAGACAGCAAAAGAGACACAGATGTAAAGAACAGACTGTTGGACTCTGTGGGAGAAGGCGAGGGTGGGATGATTTGAGACAACAGTACTGAAACATGTATATTACTATATGTGAAATGGATGACCAGTCCAAGTTCAATGCATGAAATAGGGCACTCAAAACCTGTGCGCTGGGATGACCCAGAGGGATAGGATTGGAAGAGAGGTGGGAGGAGGGTTTGGGATGGGGGACACATGAACACCCATGGCTGATTTCTGTCAATGTATGGTGAAAACCACCACAATATTGTAAAGTAACTAGCCTCCAAGTAAAATAAATTAATTAAAATATATTAAGACAAATGAAAATGAAAACAAAACAAAACAAAAATTATGGGAAGCAGCAAGAGAGATTTGGAAGCAGTGATTTTCTTTAAACTTATGATGATAGACATTTTATCTAGTAAGTAGTGTGTATCTGCTAATCCCAAATTCCTAATTCATCCCCTACTTTGGTAACCTTATGTTTGTTTTCTATGTCTGAGTCTATTTCTATTTTTGTATTTTAGATTACACACATAAATGATACCACATGGATGATACCATGAGGTATTTGTCTTTCTCTGACTTACTTTACTTAGTGTGATAATCCCTAAGCCCATCCCTGTTGCTGCAAATGGATTATTTCATTCTTTTTAATGGCTGAGTAATATTCCATTTTTTGGTGTGTGTGTGTGTGTGTGTGTGTGTGTGTGTGTGTGTACACACAGAACATCTTCTTTATCCATTCATCTGTTGATGAGCATTTAGGTTGTTCCCATGTCTTAGCTATTATAAATAGTGCTGTGATGCTATGAACATTTGGGTGCATGTGTCTTTTTGAATTAGAGTCTTTACCTTTTCCAGATATGTACCCAGGAGTGGGATTGCTGTATCACATGGTAACTCTATTTTTAGTTTTTTAGGGAAATTCTATACTGTTCTCCACAGTGGCTGTAGCAATTTACATTCCCACCAATAATGTAGGAGGGTTTGTTCTTCTCCACCTTCTCTTCAGCATTTATTACTTGCAGATGTTGAGTATCTTTTCATGTGCTTCTTGACCATTTGTAAGTTTTATTTAGAGATATGTCTATTTAGGTCTTCTGTTCATTTTTAATTGGGTTGTTTTTATGATATTGAGCTGTCTGAGCTGTTTACATATTTTGGAAATGAACCCCTTGTCAGTCACATCATTTGCAAATATTTTCTCCCTTTCTATAGGTTGTCTCCTTGTTTTGTTTTGGGTTTCCTTTGCTATGCAAATGCTTTTAAGTTTAGTTATGTCCCATTTGTTTGCTGTTTTTTCCATTACTCTAGGAAACACATCCAAACAAATATTTCTATGATTTATGTCAAAGAGTGTTCTGCCTATGTTTTCCTCTAGTAGTTTTATAGTATCCCATCTTGCATGTAGGTCTTTAACCTATTTTGAGTTTACTTTTTTACATGGTATTAGAATATGTTCTAATTTTATTCTTTTACATGCACCTGTCCAGTTTTCCCAGAACCACTTATTGAAGAGATGGTCTTTTCTCCATTGTGTATTCCTGCCTCCTTTGCCATAGATTAATTGACGGTAAGTGGGTGGGTTTGTTTCTGGATTTTCTATCCTGTTCTATACTTTCTTTCCTGTCCCATATCATTTTGGTTACTGTAGTTTTATAATATAGTCTGCAGTCAGGGAGCATGATTTGTCCAGCTCTATTTTTTTTTCTTGAGGTTGCTTTGACAATTTGGGGTCTTTTGAGTGTCTATACAAATTTTAATATTTTTTGTTTTAGTTCCATGAAAAATGCCATTGATAACTTGATAGGGATTGCATTGAATCTGAGACTGCCTTGGTAGTATGGTCATTTTAACAGTGTTGATTCTTCCAGTCCAATAATATAGTATATCTTTCCTTCATTTGTGCTGTCTTCAAGTTCTTTCATTGATGTTTTACAGTCTTCAGATTAGAGATCTTTTGCCTTCTTAGGTAGATTTTTTTTCCTATGTATTTTATTCTTTTTGATGCAATGGTAAATGGGATTTTTTCCTTAATTTCTGACTAATAGTTTGTTGTCACATACAGAAATGCAAATTTCTGTATGTTAATTTTGTATTCTGCAAATTTACCAAACTCATTGATGAATTCTAGTAGTTATCTTGTACTGTCTTTAGGATTTTCTATGCATAGTACCATGCTCCAAGGATCATTTCATATGTTCTTCTTGGAGACTAGTCATTTTTGACTTCAGGGAAAAATTATTAGTTGAATTAGCTCAATTTTTCTCAATTACTTTCTAAGTGCTTGTTTCAGGGAAATGTTGACTTAACTTAGTCTTTATTATGAGGTACAAATTCTATGAAATCTAGCCACGTATTTACTTAGTAATGACTTGAATTTAATGAAGGCTGAGTCTCTCATTAAACATGATTGATTCTCTCTGAACAGAGCTGAATATACACCATTAGTCAATCAATAAATTAATTGTTTGCCCCTGCTGTTATTCAAACAGAAAAATCAACTCTTCATTTAAATTAGCAATGCTTACAGGTCTACCAGAGGGTCATATACTAAAACTTTCTATCTAGGCTGTGAGATGCCGCTTACTGACCACTGCTCTAGGGTAGCTGCTGGCATTTTCCCTATGTCCTCTTAGTTGCTGCTGCTTCTATTTGTCTGTGACAGACAGTAAGGGACCTTCTAGGATCCTATTATAGACACAACCTCAATCATAGCACAGATGTCCTCTGCAATCAAAAAAAAAAAAAGGCAAGTGCAAACAAGGTTCCACCAGATTTGTATGCATTTCAACACAAGTTTTCCAGAGATTCCTCCTTCAGGGAAACATTTACAAAAGCTCCAGGTCATTGATGCTGCCCACAATAAATGTAAATTCTCCATATTTTTCCATTTACTAAATCATGTATCTTCAGTTTGAATATTTAAGATATCCAGTTCTGGAAAAACAGGTGGCCTATTTGTGTCAGCTCATTACTTCTGGATTTATTTATTTACACATAAACTACAAAGGGCTTGCTCTTTTCTGGCTGCAATTATGGAGGGTGCAGAAGAGAAGAAAAACAAGGTTCCTGCTATGCCAGAAATGAAACTGCTGTCGCTCACTCATGTCTGACTCTTTGTGACCCCATGGACTGTAGCCCGCCAGGCTCTTCTGTCCGTGGCATTCTCCAGGCAAGAATACTGGAGTGGGTTGCCATTTCCTTCTCCAGGATATTTTCCTGACCCAGAGATCACACCCAGGTCTCCTGCATTGCAGGCAGATTCTTTACTGTCTGAGCCACCGGGGCCAGAAACCTTTAAGAAAAAGCAAAAGAATTTTGCACAGCTTAAGACCAAGTACCTGAGAAAGAAGTTTGCCAAAAAGATTCTTCAACAGGCAAGGAAGAATCTTATCTATGAAACAACTAAGCACTATCACAAGGAATACAGGCAGATGTACAGAAATTAAATCCAAATGGCTAGGATGGCAGGAAAAGCTGGCAACTTCTATGTCCCTGTGGAACCCAAATGGGCATCTGTCATCAGGGTCAGTTATTAGTGGTGTGAGCCCAGAGGATCAAAAGGTGTTGCGGCTTATTAGCATTTGTCAGATCTTCAACAGCACTTTTATGAAGCTCAACAAGGTTTCAAATAACATGCTGAGAATTGTGGAACCATACATTGCAAGGGGGTATCCAAACCTGCAGTCTGTAAATGAACTGATCTGTAAGTGTTGTTATGACCAAATCAATAAGAAGTGAATTGCCCTTATAGATAACATGTTGATTGCTTGATCTCTAGGCAAATATGGCATGAGGATCTGATTCATGAGATCCATACTCTTGAAAAATGTTTCAAAGAAACAAACAACTTCCTGTGGTCCTTCAAACCGTCTTTTCTAGGAGATGGAATGAAGAAAAAGATCACGGGTATTTTCTTGAGGGTGGAGATGCTGGCAACGGGGACGAGCTGATCAACAGGCTTATTAGAGGGACGAACTAAGGTATCTACCATGATTATTTTTGTATGTGGTCAGTTAATAAACAGTGAATGCTTTCAAATTGAACTGTAAAAAAACACAAAGGCCTCATTCTGTGGTCAGTGCAGTGAACAGAAGGAATTAGGCTGGGTTTCTTGATATAGAAGCCACACAGTAGTCTGCTGTGTAAAATCAGGGCAAGTTACAGCACCCCTGTGCTCCAGTTTCTTTATTTGCTAAGTCAATACAATCATGCTAGATTATACTTGGAGAACTGATCTTTGATCCAATTAAGAAAAGACCCCTCCAAAGCAAACTGTGGCAATATTTGTTTATGTCCTGGCAATGTTTCAAAAGAGGTTCTTTTGAAGAGAGAAACAACAAGTATGAGGTACTTAGATGTAAGATTTAATACTTGCCTTACATTTTCAAAACAGTTTTCAGGTATACCACATTATTTATAGTTATAAGATTTAAAAGGAGCAGAGACTTTTATTCACATTTTATAAATAACGACACTGAAACTCACAGAAGTTAAAAAATGAGCCCTAGTGTAGTACCCAGCTACTTAAGATAGACCTAGACCCTGGGCCAGATTATCCAGTTGCTAATTATTGTCCAATTGCTAGTTCGGTATTTCTTTACTAAGTACTTACTGTCTTAAGCCAGATTACTTAAGCCAAACTTCAGTTATCCCAATTCTGAAAGACAAGAACCATATTTTCTCTGTCAGGCATAAGAACAGTGTAAAAATGAAGCTTCAGTGTGTGAGGCCCTGAGATGCCCCTGGGATATACAGTGGGAAATAAATTTAACTAGTGATATTGTGGAAAGGATTTGATGAGTTGAGGTGATGGCAACATACAGTGACCAAGTGAACAGTGGGGCCAGCTAAGCAAATATCTAGAGTTAATTGAATCAATGTGTTTATTTCTAACATTTGTACCCTTTGATTTTGGGGTAATTCCATTTCATTTAACTTTCTTACAGATAATGTGCCAGAGGTACATAGGTTTTTACTGTCACATTAGCCTTTTTCTCATAGGATTTTGGAACTTAAAAAATTAAATAAGCATTTAAGCTAAATAGACAGTGAAGAATTTAGTCAATTTCATAGCCTTTACTATAAGATTTGCTGATATTTTTATGAGGTCTTGTTTATGTCTGGTACTGGGCAAACCTTTAATGTGTGTATTATTTAATCAATCAACCCCATTTAAAAGTGAGAAAACTGAAGTACAGAGATGTATTGGGTTGGTCAAAAATTTTTTTTTGGATTTTCCATAAGATATTACAGAAAAACATAAACAAACTTTTTGACCAACCCAACAACTTATTCCGGCTTAAAGCTGAGGTTCAAAAGTGAGTCTGTTTGCCAGAGTTACAGATCTTTTTACCTACTTGTTTATACCAAGACCTTCCTAGTCAGGAATTGTGCTGGGTACTGAGAATACAGGGGGGAACAGGTGATGAGTCCATCCTCTGGGTACAATTTACTTTTGTACATGATTGTTCATTTATCCAGTATGCATTATGCAAGTACAGAGTTCAGACTATTTTCCGGGTGCTGGACAGACAACTAGACTTCACAGAGATGATCCATTAGGAAACCTAGTGTTACTGGGAAGAGGAGGCATGTGGATAAGCAGCAACATGGTGTCACATGTGCTCATTTTGAGGTAGAAAGAAATCCTATGGGAGCATTAAGAAAAGTGAAAGTGAAGTTGCTCAGTAGTATCCGACTCTTTGCGACCCCATGGACTGTACCTTACCAGGCTCCTCTGTCCATGGGATTTTCCAGGCAAGGGTAATGGAGTGGGTTGCCATTTCCTTCTCCATAATGGGAGCATTAAGATAGGAAGGGGTAGTTCTGACTGGGGAATATTTGTGACATATCTTAAGTGATTGATGTAGGGGAATATTTGTGACATATCTTAAGTGGCTGATGTATGAAGATAGGACACTCCATTTCAAAAGGCCCACCTTTCAGACATTTAACTATTTTCCCCTAAAATTCACCTTTCTGTCTCTTTCTTTGTCTTTCCCATCTTTGCTCTCCTCATATAGCCAGAGACCAAACAGACAGAACCTGCATCACCAGCTGAGTTAGGATCCATCTGGGTAGCAAGTGGGTGACCAACAGGAGCAGATCTGGTCACCAAGCTGAGCCTGAAGTGTTTACTCATGATCTTCTCTTCATTGAGACAATACTTCAGCCTAGTCAAACTGGGGGATTTAGGATGGAGAAAAACAGAATACTGATTCTAGACAGTTAAGATGCCTATCTAAGGAATCATTTCAGTGAGCCCAGACTCTTGCCGCTTCCCATACATAGAAAAGCACTAAAATCATTAACTTGAGATGTCTGATTATTTTTGTGATTGGCAGTAATCTTTGGATGTTTGACTACTTTTTCTTTTTTTTTTTAAGAAAAATCTCCTATGTATTCTGGTTCCTCCTTAACATCTTTGGAATGGTTCCTCAGAGACATCTTCCCTGGATTTAGTCCTCAGTATTGACCCCAAATAAAACATAATTTTCAATTTTTAGGTTGTACTTTTTTTTCCAGTGAAAAAGTTTCTTCTGATGCATCTAGAGCCCTCCTCCTCTTAACAGTTATTTCTTTTCCTTTGGCATCTCCCCAGTAGCATGCTCAATGTGTGGGTGTTCTTTAGACTTAAAAATTTATATGAGAGATTGTTGAGTCCTGCCCCAAGGCCAAAGCTGCGAGGCCTTGCCACAAGGCCACAGAAGCAGAGCCCAGACCCAAGGTACCCCCAGAAGGTGACTGAGCCCCCTTGCACTGTTGCCAAAGACCCCCTGATCATCACAAGCAGGTTTCCTGAACCCCAAATTAGTCAAAGACACCCATCCCGATAGTCACCCTATAACACCCTAAGCAATCACTTTTATGCCAATCTTCCAGCAGGAGTTTTCTTTGTCTTGAGGCTATAAATATAGGCTGCTGCTGCTAAGTCTCTTCAGTCATGTCCAACTCTGTGCGACCCCATAGATGGCAGCCTACCAGGCTCCCCGGTCCCTGGGATTCTCCAGGCAAGAATACTGGAGTGGGTTGCCATTTCCTTCTCCAATAAATATTGGCTATTAACCCATAAAAACTGTCAACTCCTCTGGTTTGTCAGGAGGTTGGCCTGTTGCACTCACAGTGCCTACATTACTTCTGCTCTTTGTTCTTAATAAACTCACTCCCTTCTGAAATGCTCTGTGTCTGGAAATTCTTTTCCAACCTTCATTCAGACTGCCTCAACAGAAATCATATTTCACAAACCAGTGGAAGCTTTAGCAGTACCCAGTGAACTCACTCCCACATAGTAAAAGTACATTTTAAACAAATAAAAGGAAGTTTCTTCTCTCAGATGTATAATCCTCAAGTTTGGCCTTTAATAGAATAAGATTATAATGCATTTGCTCCAGTGAAAAGTAAACTCTGTTTTCATTTTTGACAGCAGGGGGAAAAATGATGTTGAATGTAATCAAATGTATAATTTTTTTCTCCCAATGGATGTATTTCTTCAAATGTATTTATTTGCAAATTCTTGCACATTTTTAATGTCTGACAGGAGAGATAAATAAAGCCTAAGTTTATTTTGCAAATAATTTTATGGTCTAAATTACATTTTAGGAAAAAAATAAAAATTTCCTCTGTGGTATAAACACTATTTGTTTCTCAGAAGCTAGATATAATTTCATGTTCATGTTTTTATTATTATCTGTTCTTAAGGTTTACATGTATTCAGAAGAAGGATATTATGCAGAGAGGTTAAAAATTATTCATCTAGTTACCTAAGAAATTTATCTACACTAAGACTGGTGAGGATAAAGGCACATATTCTTTAAAATTAAATAAACTTAACAATGTACTAAGCCACCCTGCAGTTTTGGGCTTGGTTGCTCTTCTGAAGACAGTGTGATTCTGGGTAAGCCGAGAGAGTCTGCAGCAAGAACGTGAAGCCCAACTTTGGCAGACTAACTCCTCCATCTGGGTTATGGGCTTTCCCATGTGTAGAACACACCTATGACAACACTCACATAATTCACAATAACCTTACTGAGACAACTAACAGTATACTCAGGGCACATCTTATTGAGCATGGCTGCAATGGAAAATTCACTCTTTACCCAGAATCAAAAGCTTGGTTCTAGAACCAAAATTCTCATGCCTATTGAACAGAGGCATAAGTGAGCTGTGTCATGCTTTACCCAAAGGCAGATTTCTGTGTTGTCAAAGTGATGCTGTGGACCGCATCTCCCACTGGCTTGGGAATCATTTGGCCCTTTTCCTTCCCTAGATTGAGAACTTTTTAATTCCCTCAAAGCAAATGTCAATTTCCCTCTGTTTCACCCACGTTAAACATATAATAGTATATTTTTGTGTTTTCTTTAACATTTCTAATGATAAAATAGGCTTAGAAACACCCAGATTAAAATGGGATTCATCAGAGGAAGGAGAAAGAACCCGTGTTGGATACAGCACAAGACGGAAAGCGCTCCCCTTAGTTTTTTGTATGGATCTGTCCCAGGCGCTTATTGGAACCTTACAAATCCCGAACTTGGATGCCTGGATTAAGTTCTCGGCAAAAGAATATGTTTTGGGCACCCTGACAAAGACAATGGGTACACAGAGAGACGAGAAAAATGTATCTGTGTTTGCTATGCTGAACTTGGAAGCTTCATTTCCTTTGGAATAAGTGAATCCTCTTGATCACTTTTCCCAGTTCCAGTTTCCCCTGAATAAGGTAAAGGTTTCAACATGTGGCGACTGGGAGTGTCATCATCACTTGGAAGGATATCTTTTCACTCTACAAATGATAAGATTATTACTGCCTGAAACCTGTGGCAAGTTGTTTCAAGATCTTAGAAGCAAAGCTACGGAGTGATTCATGGCATTATTCTTGACCAGTGTGTAATGGTGGAGGCCATGGTCTTTCAGGGCAGAAGAAACCATGGACTGGGGCCACTTCCCTTTCCTACCCGTCCCGTCCTTTAACCGCGAGGGATGGGAGGAGGGGGTGCTCAGGGGTCCACTAAGACGTTCATGTTCGCCCACTACAAAATGACTGAGTTCCAAGTCACCTTTCTTTCCCCCCAAAAATTTGCCCTGGTAGCTAACTCATAACACCTTTTCAGGCAGGCAGCCTTTAAAAGTTTTCTGGCAAGGCTGAGAGCCAGGAGATTATTTAGATTTACTATCAGATAATTTAGATTTACTATTTGCCTACAATTATACTCAGAGTAGATATGACTACAGGATTTCCATATAACTGTTGAAATCTGCCACTGCTCTGGTCAACTTGGGATATCTTATTATGAGTATAAAATATTCTTTTTAATGAAGCCATTTCTTACATGTCTTCAAGTTATCATTCTCCATTCTTACAAGAAGTAAGAATAAATTTCAATTTTATTCTAACCAAAATGCTTTCTGCTCCCTGAATATAGTTCTTTACAGTTGAATATCACCAGAAACTGGCAGTTTTAAACTTTCTTTTCCTCCACTTTGATGATTTACATGTTGTAGAGAATAATTACCTCTGTGATAAAGGCACCCCCATGGCTAGAAATAAAACCTGCCTGATCTTTAGAGTCTTAGTTTAAAGAGATTTCTCTGAGAGTGATAAGTGAAGTGGTCTTCTGGTATAATGATATTTAATGGTGGAACTGACAGTAAACTGAGATTCAA